TTTCCTTTATTGTTACTAACTTTTGTCTTCCTAGGTTGTTGTACAAACTTGGACAAGTTAGTTAGCCTCTCGGATTTTTTTTTAAAGAAGTTATTTAATTTTATTTTTTATCATTATCTTAAAATTTTCTATAGGGCATGTGTGCTCAGAGAGAGAGAGCGAGAGAGAGAGAGAGAGAGAGAAAGAAATCTACCACCAGTCTGGGACTTGAACTGTAGTTGGCCATGTGGGACAGTGGTTATCACAGTGCCTTAATCACCACGCAACCTGTTGGACCCAAGCTCTCTGATCTTTATTTTCTATGTTGGTGAAGTTACTACAAGGATTAAATTAGTTACATATACCCAGGACTTTAGATATGCTTATGTTCAAAGCTGACATGTCCTGGAGTGCCTTGGTTGAGACTGTCCTAGGAATTGGGAAAATATCGAGCCTTTAAAGGGTCATAAGTGAAACAAGACAGTAATATAAGAAAAGTCCAAAGAGCCTACTGGCCTCTTTACCTTCTGCCCAGAAGGACATTCTACTCTTTCTGTTTTACTGTACAAGGTCTTGCTTTCAAGCAAAGAGCCTATCCAGGAAAGTCAAATCTGCCATAAAACATTAAGTGGATGAAGTCTGTCTTAAGAACCTGGGTGCTGAGATACATTAAGAAGCCTTAAAAATCTAAGGAGCTGGTGAAATCTAAAGGGGCCCCAAGAACCTCTTGCACACTGCATGGTCATTTTTTAGGTTTCTTCTGAGTGTGTGAGGCACAAGTGATGCTAAGCAATACAGGACACTAGGCCACCAAGAAACCCCTTCAGATTAACTAGGCACATATAGACCATAGTAGACTTGGCATCAAGAAAGTTTAAACTGATCTCAAAAGTTTACTTCTACTCAACAGTTTTGTGATTTTTAAACACTGTAAAGAAAGTAATCAGCTTTATTGTTGACTAGGAAAACTATAGACAGATAGGGCTATCTGTACACAAAAGAGGGGAAGATTAAGGAATATTACCTTGTTGAAAACTCTCATTTTTAGACTTTGCCCCAGATTCTTATTCCATAAGAAATCCTCTGTAAAATAGAGGTTATAAATTGGAGGCCATGAGATGAATGCAGCTTGTATGTTCTGTTTGGCTTTAGGGTTAAATAAATCCTTTGAGGTAATATTTAGAATTTTTACATTAAAAAAAAAATCTAGATTTCCAGGTTCTCTTTAAAGTTATAAGATATGTGGCCCTAAGTTTATAGTGGCCCAGGAAAGCAACTTGTTTTAGCTGATAGAAGCTTCCTTTAAAAGTGTTACATGTTGGAGCCAGAAGGCAGCAAGGTGGTTTAGGTGCTGGATTCCTACCTGGCAGAAGGTGATTTCCAGACTTGGCGGCTTGAAAATTATGCTTGGGGGGGGGCGTGCCTGGGTACCCAAAAATCCTAGGCGTAGAATGGGTGAAGAGATTGTTGCCTGGTCATTCCTCTGGGGAATGGTTTCTCAGTTTCCCTCTTTCTCTTCTGGATAGCCCACACGTCCTACGGCACCCCCCACCGCGGGGGGTGAGTGTGGGGGGAAAAAAGGAGTGTTACACGTATTCTGTGCACCCTTACCATTCGCAAAATTTTTGATTGTGTACCTGTAGTTACGGGCATTACGTGAGAGGAAGGTCCAGTTACCTCACGGTGGCCAGAGGCAGTCTGAGAGGGTAATTTTTAACGCGAGGCCTGCAAGAAATGACTGGGTGAATCACAACCTCGAGCCTCCGTCTCCTTACCTGTGAAATGGGGCTGATAATGGGCAGCTGTGAGAACGGGGGAACCGAGTGTGTGGACAAATGGTCCAAACACCGTTTCAGGGCACGTGCCCGGTGCCATCCATGCTAACGTCGTGGCCTCGCCTGCGGGAACCAGGCCATGGCCCAGGGGCACCTGCGCAGGACCTGGCTCTTCATCCCTCCCCGCCTCGGGTCCCCGCGCCTCGCCGAGGTCGGCCCCGGGCGCGGAGAGGCGTGGCCGGCGCGCGGCCCCTTGCGGCGGCCATGGCCTCGGTGGTGGAGTACAAGGGCCTCAAGTCAGGCTACCACTGCGGCTACTGCGACTCCGAGGAGGGCAAGGCGTCCTGCGGTGAGTGTCCCCGTCGACCAGGTCGGGTCGGCCGCTTTGCGCCCAAGCCCGGCCACCCGCCGCCCTCCTGGCGAGGGAGAGGGCTGGCCTGCACCCCACTCGCGCTCCCCTTTCCCGCTCGTTTCTTCCCAGGCTGTTTCCCTCTCCGCTCAGTCTCTGCCTCACCTTCCTGACGCTAGCTGCCCCTCACCGGGAAAGAACGGAAATAGCGGAAACATGCCCTCGGTCAAGATGGCGCCGGCGGCGTCAGCTCGGAGAGGCACTGGGCCGA